GGAAGGTGTGGCCTTGCAGCATTGGGGCTTACATACTTGAATGGGAAAAGGTGTCACGGATGATCAACAGGGTGTTATACGAAATAGACGTTTTTTTTTTTTACATGGACATATATAAGTAAGGACAGGCACATCCGGGTTGCATGGGCACGCGAGCGCCCTACACATGTTCGTTGCGTAGTTTTGCTTCCTAGCTTGCATGCGTCAAATGCATGCGTGCGATGCATGGATCAGGTTGCCCGGGCTACATATGTACAAACAGAGTGGACACACGCATGCATGTTACTTGAAAATTGATTGCGTAGCCGTATGAGGGAGATACTAGTAGCAATAACTAGCTGCTAGGGCTCTCACGGAGCTTTACCATTACTAGCTCGTTAGGTCATCGCTAGTTATGATTCGGATTATTATTATTTTCTTTTTTTTTTCTGCATAGTGGTGGTTGGATCTATGTATATCGACTTCGCTCATAGATCAGGGAGGCTAGCCTCGCTTGCTTCGAACATCATTAATAAATTAGGCTGACAAACACACCTTCTCCATCATCAAGTTCATCAACATATTCTCAAACGAACTAATGATATTCTTCTCTTACTCCTCGGAGCTAAGCTAGTCCTAGCGTGTACATTGATGACTGTGTGCCCAGGCGGCGATCCCCACGCTTCTTGCTTTCGAGTGTAAGCAAGCAGCCGTGACCGACGCGATCCTTTGTTTGTACTTCGGATTCTTCGAAGTCAAGTTACGGACATACACACATATATTTATATACGCGCGGTGACACCGGATCAAACACGTCCAGGGGAATTGTAATCAGTTTATTTTGTTTTACTCAGCAGCCCCCCGCCTGGTCTCACCTTTGTTTAAATAACATTAATTCCGAAGTTTGTGGCGCCAGCCCGAAGCACCGGGGATCGGTATCATGACTCCGTACTAAGTAAGGGCTCGACAATTTGTATGTCGATATATCGATCCTCCGTTGAACAGAGATAAAACGTCCCTTTCCCGGCCCCGGTCCCGGTCCCGGCCTCCGTGTTATGTATGTACCATATGAAAGAGTTCTTCTAGCTTGAACTATGCACGAACACTAGCGGAAGAAAGAGAGAGAGAGGGGGGAGGGACGACGGACAAAGGTGAATAGGCGTAGATAAGAACGACTGAATAGTTTTTTTTTTCGAAGCTTGATCGGCGGGAGGGTTAGGGCGAAACCGCGTTGCATGTCAACTGACATTTTTTGCCTGACTGGTATGTAATACCTACCTCGTACTCGTGTGCATGCGTGCGTGCAATACTGGTTAACAGGTTGACTTGTTCCACCTTCTTTCCTTCTTCCCCCTTTTACCGGCTCCAGCTTTGGCCCCTCCCCTCCCAAAAAAAAAAAGAAATTTAAGAAAAACATGGGGGTTAATCAACAATCATAAGTGCATAATGTGTCACACAACGGACTCATCATGTACAACAAACGACAACGGACAAAACGTGTGACACTCCCCCCCCCCCTCGTTTTCGTTTCCCCTCCCCCCCCTTTTTGTTTTCATTACCTATTATTATTAACCCAAACTCTCCCAGCCCCATCGCATCAACCCCTCCCCCTCCCCTTCCCCTTCCCCTTCCCCCCCTTGCGGCGATTTTTCCTTTACGGGCTACGTCACCGACACCCCCCAAGAAGTTTGCTGACATCATGTTCTCATCTAATCATAATATCACATGCATCAAAAAAGGGTGGTACGTGGGTCACTGTAGCTGTAGTAACAGTTACACCATGTGCAAACGTGGCAGGGGGGGGGGGGGGGTGAAGGGTGTGAGGGAGATCCGGCGCGCGCTACCTAAAATAACGGCACTCTTTTTCTTTAGTTGGCAAGGATCTTCACCCTAGTTTCAAGCTCAGCCGCCGCCCAAGTAACAAAAAAAGCACACCCGTTTTTTTTTGATTGATACAGTTGTATACATGGGTTGCCAGCGCTTGTTTTTCACGCGCTTACGCGTAAACGTTTGTTTTGAGGGTGGTTGGTAACGTGTATATGTAATTGTTGTTTAAATAACACAGGTGTGCGCGTTGCGTGTTGGCGGGTTGCGCGTTTGCGGGTGCAAAGCGCAGCTAAATTGGCTCTCACTCTCACTCCCTCCTCCATAATTACATATAGTTTAATCAGTACCTGGAAAGGGATCTAGATCATCATCATCAACGGCTACATGCAACAACGTAGTACATACCTTTTTCAGAGAGATTGAAAACAAAAAAAGCGGTTCCGTGTTTCGGTCTGCGGTCATCCTCATCATGTGAAGAAAACGTCCCGCTTTCTGCGGAATTGTCCATAGAGTATATGTAAGTATTGTAATTGCTGCTTGGAGGGGCCGCCCATCAAAACGGACGAACGGGGAGGCGGGACCACGTTAATAGATATATATATATATATATATCTCTAACGGGGCCCGACAATGCCATCTTTCTGTCGTAAGACTACCGCGTCAACTTGCGGCACTTGCGGCGGTATATATAGCGAACCTTGTGACCCCACAAACAAGAGAAAAACCCATCGATCGGTCCGAACAAACGGTGGTAGGAAAAAGAAAAAGATACACAATGTATATCACACACCAAACCCGAATTATTGAAAGACGTGGAAGATCATCACCGGCTGCGCCAAGAAAAAAAAAAAAAAACAAACAAAGATCGAAACACACAAGAGTTTCCTTTTATATACATGACTGCGAAACCAGAAAACGACAAAAACAAGGACAACAAACCCCTTCAGGCGAACCAGGAATTTGGGGAGTTGGATGAGCGCTTATTTAATTATACAATCGATATATATATATTACGATTGCACGGATGGACGAGACGGCAAGAATAGTCCACAGGAGATGACCAACGGGAACTCCGACGCCAGATTAGAAGTGGAACCGGAGAGATGATTGATTATATATCATTGATCGGTCTTGCCATCGTTTACGTTACTCTCCCCCAACCCCCCCTCCAATAAAAAAAAAACCCTTAAATTTTCAATGTTGCCCTTGGCACCTCCCCTTCCCCACGCGCGCGCGGGATATTATATACGCGCGTACACTATTTCGCGTATATACGCGTCCGTTTCTATATTCCCATTCTGTCACATCCAATCGCTTGGGCCCCCTCCCCCCCTCCACTTCCACGTCTCTCCACGTTCTAGTTTCCCGATTCATACACGCTTGTGAGTCGTGGAAGGAAGGAAAGAAGGAAGGGTTACATACGCGCAGCATGAGTGGGCGGCTGCGCGTCTTCGCGTTCATTTCATATATCCAATACAGCCCAATATTACAATTTGCATTCTGGTCTTTCTTTGTCTGCGACGTGACGGGTACATTAGAATTTACCTTGAGGGTGTTTGTATGTATGTAGTTGCGATACGTGGTTACGGTTCACCCGCGTGGTTTTGGGGGGGTGGGGGTTTGTAACATACACGCGCATACATGCATACACAGCAACAGTAGACGCGGAAAAGCCCTTTTTATGTATGTAACTTGATTTTTTTTTTGCATATTTAACCCATTTATGGCGATGGAACAGCCAGTTTGCACTTGAAAGCACCGCCATTGATGTTCTGTCACTGACTTGCCATCAACCGGACACTCCCGTGATTCGAATTTGGGGGTCACCGTCGCTTGACCCGCTGGAGATTGCGCAACAGCACTCCCCGCTTAATTTATTTTCCCTCTTTCCGTTTTCCTTTCTGCGACGGAAAGAATCCAGTACCGGGTGGTAGCATTTGCCAACTGACACCCCTTGACATATATGTATTCCATAACACAGACCACACATACAAACACACACACAAGTAAGTACTCGAAAAGGGTTGAGTAGTAGGAGTTAGTGCTCCTACATATGTAATTGCCTTTCCGCGGAAAGAGGGAGTTGGGGGGGGGTTGGACAAGGGCTGTAATTCACCCTATATATGGAAATTGGGAAATTAAAAAAAAAGGACGAAGAGAAGGGTCCATACCCATTTTCGGATAGATTGAATGATGGTTACTGAAGTGTCCAATTCAAATAATCTTTAGTATGTATTTTCTTCCCTTTTTTGCCCTTTCTTCCCACACCGAGAGTTTATTTAAAGAAAATATGATAATAACGATTTATTCAATTTCCACATTTGTATTGTACATTTTGTAGTGACTCCGCCGGCGGAAGCGTGTGTTCAACCAACCAAAAAACATAAAGGCCAAGCGTTAAAACACACTTTCCTCTCCACAACCTCGACAAACTCACCGCAACCACCGCATCCCTCCCCTTCCCGCCAACGCATCAACGCATACGCATACGCATACGCAACGCAACGCAACGCATACACACACGCACAACAACACCCCCTACAGCGCCCCCACGTGTCCGTCTTGCTTCAGCTTCTATCGCTTGATAACCCCCAAACGAATTGGATCGGACGTCTATCTCCTCATTTTTTTTTTTCACTTCTCCTTCTCACACCTAACCTGCTCATATCCACTTCCGAGGAGAAGAATATTATATATATATTTTCCCCCCCCCAACCCAACCCAACTTGGGACCAACAAATCCATCCAAACCCGTACTTTCAACTCATTTCTTCAAGTCTCAACTCCCGACTCAATACATATAGAAACTCATTTATCACCACAACTAGCTAACCAAAGAGCTTCACAAGTCCACTAGTATAAAATCAGCCCCGGCCAGCTTAGCTTCCTCCTTCCATTTCCTTTAACCCTGCCTTGTAACTCTCTCCTTCCTCCTCGTTCGCGTCGATCCCAACTCTCTACTCATCGCCACTCTCACCACACAACACCTCAAAGCAACGTTGCAGTGCACGTAGAAACGAACCACCACCACCACCAACAGTAGCAGCAGCAGTGGCAACAACAACAATCCATCCTCTTGTAGCCCATCCAACGAACGAACGAACGAAAAGGAAAACGAATACCAATCCAATCATCATCTTCATCATACACCACCATACCAACGCCAACCCAGCTTAGAGTGTCTGGCGCTTACAATGTCTTGCTTCTATAACTACCGTTCCACCACTCCTACCACTTCTCCTTCATCTGTAGTCGCAAAAGTAGCACCAGCTGCTGCATCGCCAGTCGGAATGGACGAGAATAGCTATCATCAACAAGACGACCTGTTGTTCTACATGTCTCCCCCGACAAAGTCCACCAGCCTCCTCGTTGCCAATACCACCGCCACCACCGTCGCCACCGCCACCGCCACTGCCACCGCCACCACTACTACCACTACCACCACTACTTATCCTCATCCTCCACCACCCACTCGCGACAATGTGGGAATGGAAAAGGTGGAGGGGTTCATGTATAGCGTGCCTAAATTCGAACCTCATCCATTGTTGAACAAGTCGTCCGCTGCAATGGGTTTAGTCGTCGGTTGTGGTGTCACCACTACTACCAACGGCAACAGGTGGCGTGGATCCGCTGGAATGGAGGAGGTTGGGAGGAATGGTAGATTAAAGTTCGGTGGCCGAAAGGGAAGAAACATTAATAGTAAGGGATTTCATGGTATTGGTGAGTTTTTTTTTTTTTTTTTTTTTTTCGTCGTCGATGTTTCCCATCCCCCCTCTCTCTCTCTCTCCGCGCGCGCGCGCGCGCAATGAGGGAATTGATACGAGTAAAAACTGACTTCCTTTTTATTTACACTAGTACGACCGTCGTTCTTCGATCTCAAAGCAGCTCCTTCAACTTCCATATCTCCATCTCCATCAAGTCTTTCCCTCGCTCGTCTACCATCATCGAAGGACCAACAACAACAACAACGACAACAACAACAAGCGGAGGAGGACCATGACCACGACCACCTAAAATCAAACAGTAACACCAACGATATCAACGATATCAACAACAACAAAAATGAACGACCACCTTATGCATTCTCACCTTCCCTTTCTTCTGCGGTGCCTGGTGATGATAACAACAAGGTCCCGACAACAGCAGCAGCAGCAACAACAGGATTCGGGTTCGGATTTGGATTTGGATTCGGTGCTGGCCCAGCAGCACCTGGCGTGCCGCCGCCGCCGCCGATGAGGATGACGGCAGCTGGAATGCTTGGAGGTGTGTTACTTGGTCGTACAGCAGGTGTGGCATTGGCCGCCACTGCAGGAGGTGCAGCTCCTATTCGTATCCCACCTCGCATTTCATACGGTTCCCAACTCGACTTTGGCGACTCAGACTCAGACCCTTCCGAGTCCGAATCCGAGTCGAACGACGACGATGATGATGATTCTCCATCTTCTTTCTCCATCCCTTCATCGTTCTCCTTGTCACCTCCACCACCTAGCGCTTCCTTCTCCTCTACATCTTCGACGTCCTCATCTGACTCCTCGGATGATAGCACTGTCGCTTCGTCGGATGATGATGATCACGACGACGACGACGACATACTCGATTTCTTCTATGATGCTGATTTGGAGATGGATGGAATGTCGTACGTCGATGGCGTTGGAACTCGGTCCCAATCTTCTCAGTCTTGTGGCAGTAGTAGTTCGTCGTCGTCGTCGAGCCCTTCGTGTTCGTCCGAGTCGTTTTCGTGCCGTGGAGAGTACTCCTATCCTTGGTATAGCAATAACAACAACAACAGCAACGGCAACAACAACAACGCCCAGTCATCGTTGTCGTCTACCGTAGCAGCGGCGGGAGGACGTTATCTATCATTGGATACGTCTTTGAAGAGGGAAGTTCGAAGTGGTGTGGGAGTGGGAGCGGGAGCCGGAGATGCTGATGCTGCTGGTGTTGGGAGAGGGAGAATGTTCGAAAGGAGGAGTGGCGATAAGAAGAAGATGAAGAAGAAGCAGAAGCAGAAGCAGAAGCAGGAGATGGGGATGGGGATGGGGATGGGGATGATGACGATGATGGAGGTGAGAGGAGGACAAGGGCAAGAACGGGAGGTGGTGGTCGATGAGGATGATAAGATTTGGGAGGAACGTGGGAGGAAACGACGATGAAGGCGGCCGGGGGGGGGGGGTCGCTTGGGCCAGGGGGGGGGCCGTACCTCGCTCCCTCTAATGCCCTGAGTGATCATCGTCGTCGTCCTTTCTTCTTCATGCCCCAAACCTTCAATCGTTTTTCCATCGCGTCTGTCCAAAATCATTCCTCCCATTCTACCACTCCAACCTTACCTTTGCCTGTTGTATCATTATCACCCATTCCCGCCCCACCATTCCCCCGACTTACTTTTTTTTGCTCGCTCTCCGCTCTCCGCTCTGTCCTGTCTTGCCTTTTCTCTCTCCCTCCCCCTCTCTGACCCCTTCGTTCGCCCGGCGCGCGTCCATTACGTATCGTTCTTGTCGTTGCTCTTCTGCAAACTAAAAAAAAGAGACAAGGGGGAGGGGGAGGAGAGGGCGATTCACAGCTCGTGTCTTCCCCCTCCCTCTCTCTCTCTCAACTACTCCATTCTCACTCGCCAACCCTTTACCAAAACATAAACCTTTTTTTTTTCTTTCTGACGTACGTTACTTGAAGAAAAAATGAAAGATGGGTAATAAGAGTTTTAATTAGATACCCTTCCTCCTGTTTTCATTGATATTCCCATTCTCCCCATTTCCCCCCCCTCAGATATCATCATCATCCCATCCGCCCACTCGCCCAGCCAGCCCAGGGGTGTGTCGAAAAACGTAACGTACGACGGGAAAAAAAATCCAAACTCGGAATCTCGAAACTCGAAACTCGCCGATGATTCCACCAAAATCTCCTTTTTTCTTTTCATTCCATCCCATTCATCGATTTCGAAGCCCCCGCTCCCGTTCCTGCTCCCGTTCCTGCTCCCTTTTTCTCCCACTGGAGCCAAAAAAAAAATAGACATCTTTTTTTTTTTTTTTTTACACCCCCCCCTTTCCTTCCCAAATTCCCAATTCCCACCACACTACTAAACTATCATCAATACTATTAGGACGAAGTGCTAACGTATCATGACTTGCGTCTCTGTCTGTCTGTCTGTCTGTCTGTCTGTCTTTCTCTCTTTCTTTCTCTCGTTTCAAGCCCCACTCACTTCACTCAAACCCCAACACGTAAACAAGTTGTATCGAATTGATTTGTGATCGCTCTCTTTACTCTTTTACTCCTTTTCTCTTTCTCTCTTCCTTTCACGAACGCCAAACATTGCAACAATCCAACATACCATTCATTTTTCATTCCATTCCCAATTTTAATTCAACTTTTTCTTTTTGCTTCGCCTTTCGCCTTTCTCCTGTTTTTTTTTCTCTTACATATCATCATCATATCTGCATTCGCTTCACACTATCCTCCTCCACACCCCCCTCCACCCTCCATAATGCAAATACTTAACAATATCCTTGAACAGTTCTTTGTGCGTTATCATAATCGTTCAACCATTTGTTTCATTTTCGTCGTATCCTACATACATGTTTTTTTCGTTGCATTTCAGTTACATAACAGTCATTTTTTTCTTAGTTGTTTAGTTTACACCTGTGTAGAGCCAATCCACCCCGCTGCTGCCTAGCCAGCTTTTTCCTAGCCCCCACCCCCCCTCTTTTAACCTTGGTACCAAATGCACCCGTGCATGTGATCATGTCGAAAGTTAACTACATCCAAATTAAAAAATTTCCATATACCTTTTTTTTTGACATGCCGGCGCCTGATGAACATCACAATACATGGCCCCTGCAACGATGAGCAATGATTGATGAAGTTCATGAAACTTCGCAAAGTAATTGTCGATCCAGCTAGTCGGACGGTTTCAAAGAATATTCAACGACTGCCTGGGTAGTTTATTTGATTTTGGTTTTGTAAGGATTTATTTTATCCTGGGCGGCTTGCGGCGCCATTCATGAGTACACAATGGACGGTTGGGGTGGGGGCTAGTACGTAAGTACATGCATCCATACAGTTACCTCCTGTGAAACAAAGCGACAGAACGAGCGAACATTCCCATATACATACTAGAGGCGAGTGTATAATCATACTATCGCGTCCGTACCCAACCCATCTGGGTCTTTTCGATCTGAGACACATAGCTGTGTAAAACATATTGTACTACGTACGTTGCAGCCACGTCAGTTGACTTACGTTGTACTGATTCCGATTGATTACCGCATGCATTTGTTATTCTTTTTTTTGGGTATGCCGATCGATTTGGTGTTTAGGCGCGCGGGCGCGCGCAACGCACGCGAAGCCAATCGCTTGAGATTAATTATCCGAGAGTGTGGGGAGCAGTATAAGTAATGTATATGAAAAAAAAGCTGGAGTTCAGCTTTTTTCGAACAACCCCCACGTCGAATGCTAGCTGCGCTGGCGAACAGTATGATATATATATATAGGAATATGCCCTCCATCGTTGCTTCACCGCTTTTCAATTCTCGCCATGTAGGATTCGGCCACGCGCATGGGTTGGCAAGGAAGATGATGGCAGATCCTCTTCTTTATATCGCCGTCCCCTGTCGACGTGTCATGCTTTGTGAGATATGATGATGATGTTATTAGGCATCCTTGCGCGGCGCGGCGCGGGGGGCTAGGTTGTAGCTGACAAGTTCTCCCCTTTCTCGGAATGGCATGGGTACCAATGAACATATAGATGTCCCCCCCCTCCTCTGCGGATGCGAACAGCGAGCGATGATTGGGTCTTCGCTTATAGTCGCTGGTAATGGGCAAGCTGTGTTATCTTCAATATAAGAGGCGGGTCATGCGTGGATCCACAAGTGGCAACACTCACCCCGACATCTTTTGCACTTAAGCATTCTGGTATTCTTTCTATACCGGTTATCGTACGAAGAACCCCCTCCCGCGACTTTTGACTAAATCAAATATGATTTGCATGATGGGTTCTCTCGTCGAGAGTTATCTTTCTCACCACGTCGGATCATTTGTTTTGTGTGTGTGTGTGTGCTTGTGTCGTCTCTCCGAAATAGCACAATCATATGTTTGATGCGCGCATGGACACGTACGGCTCATGACGTGCTAGAAAAAAAGCAGGATCGACGTTAGTCATACATCCAGCTGCTGATGGCGTGATTGGCTTACTCACAATGGGAATTTGATGAAAAAGGGCCCTTGGCAGGTTTAATTGTGTCGGGGTGGTCTTCGCGACTTCCCGTGTACTCATACGTAGAGGGAACCGAGTAACTATCATACATATACCATTGCCAGTTGCCGAACAAAAGTAGGGGTACGATTGGGGATCATCAGGAACGCCGTTTGCAGTGGCAGTTTGACAGATTGGTGGCTCCCTTGCTCAGGGATGATGAAGTGGCGGACAGCGAGGACGGGGCCCGACAGAACTGGCCGGATGAAATGTTGGTTAATCACCACATGGGGACAGCAAACCCGTGCGATAGGAGTTTGGGACCCCACCCCCCTCCCCCGAAAAAAGTTGTTGCAGTATCAATACTATGAATACGATTGACTGTATACTGTTGCAGGGTGCTGCGAGGGATTTGATGAAGCTCTTATCGGAGCATTTATCCTGGTGCTGTTAGGTGCGGTTATTACGACAGTTTGAGTATGCGGATCAGACGAATGGGGAATGGGCGCCAATCTCTGGGTGACCGCACTTGGTTACTTGAGCGATTTTAGAAGGGGATATAACAAAGAACTTGATATCACCGCTCGAATGTGAACTCACGGGAGGGAGGGATGTAATTCCAAAGAAGACTGGGGAACATAAGCAGAGAAGCATCCCATACGATCATGGTCTTTATCGTAGGGCCCCTAACATGAGAACAGAAGCACCCGCCTGAGCAGCCTTAACGATACTCCAGAGTTGAAGTGGCGAAGGAAGGAAGGTGATTTACCTCAGGTTCGAAGTTCGGTTTGTGCCGGTTGCTGAATGTGTAACGGGGGATTACTAATGATGCGATGGGTTGAACGTGAGGTTTTCGGGCAGACCATTTGAGGCGTCGCTCAGTCCGCCGACATGCTTGAATTGAAAAGATCTGGCGGGTTTCGAATTCGGCAATCACCGCCTACCTTGGGGTGGAAGTGGTTGATGGGGTTGAGGTGTGTCACCTTCGCCACTCACAACCCTGAGATTTGATGTAATATCTATCTTGTTGAAGGGATGTCGGAGGAACTATGGCGAACCCGAAGTGAGTCTTGTGAGCAAAGTGGTGGAGAAAGTGCAGATCGTGCAGGGCGGAAACTACTTACTAAAGTATTCCTGGCATGTAGATATTCAGAGCAAGCTTTAAAAAGTGTTTGAGAATGAGGTGCATTTTTTTTTACGGGCGGTCCCGAAGGGTAATCGCTGTTGCACTTTTCTGAGCCGCATCGTTGACAAACGATCAAGGATATTGTTGTCCCCTCGTGAGTCGTCCGTATCCAAAAAAAAATGATATAGAACTTAGGAAGCCATCTTAGACCACGACAAGACCAAAAATGTAACCCCTGTGAGCAGAGTTCCAACCGTGGGCTGGCGTACATGCATGAGGAAAGCTTGAAAAATATATCCTCCGGAAAGGAAAGCGGGTTTTCAATGGCAGAGGCCCACATCCTATCGATAGCGATTTTTGAAAGCTGCGGCACCGGCCGAACCGAATGGCGTCTCGCGACCAACCCTGACCCCCTGACCAACCATGTCGCGACCTCAGAAACGTCCTCGCACCCAATCGACTTCTGTGGTCGAGTCAACCGCGCCGCGACCTCTGAAACGTCTAACATACTTCGTCATCTATCCCGTCAACCTCCCTATTGGACCTATCTCTCTAGATCTCGAGGGTGTTGAAGTTGTCGCGCAACTCCGTGTTGCGATTCATCGGGAGCACCAGGTGCTGCACAATTACGATCGCGGCGAACTTGTCTTGTACAGGGTAAGTAGGTGGGCCCTTTTGTCTGAAGAATGCTTGTGCTCATCCAAGGAAGCCTGATAATTTGACGAAACGCGGCGTTGGAGAGCTTATTGATAGAGCGAAGGCCAGCATAGCTACGAGGGATCCTCTTGATGATGATGATGAAATAGATGACGTTTTTGGACAAGACTCAAGTAAGGGCCGGGTCCATGTAGTAGTCAAAGTACAGCATTGTGAGTTGTATCGCTTCGTGAGTTCAACTCAGCTATTGGCACCCCCCGACTAATCTTTCCAATTTTTCTGTAGACCTTCTCAACCAGCCCGCCAATACAGGTACGCAGTGTATATACTTATTGAGCTCCTCTTTGTATTGACTTTCTTCGCGATACTCACCAACAGTTTCTCTTGTCACTGAAGCAAATTCACGCTATGGTAGTTTGGCTGTCATTCGCAACCGTCTCTGGAAAAATGAGGATTATTTGCCTCAACTCATCACTCACTCCTCAACCCACGTGCCCAACGTTTCCGAATTCCAAGAATCTGAGACAGAGGACGTCGCGACTACTGAGGCATTGTTTTACGACCTAATGAAGATCCCGGGGGTGCAGTGGGGTATATCCGAGGTGCTCGACATGAGGTTTTATGTGCGGGATGAATACTATAAACTCGATGAATTCGTGGAGGAGCAGAGACAATCAGACGTCACTGAGCGTTATCGCCGCAGACCAATTTTGCTTACTGGACAACCTGGAATAGGTATGCGGGTTCGTGATGGATCGCCGTTGCGCAATGCGACTGATTTCGCTCCTAAAGGCAAGACCGTCTACTTGACGTACTGTCTCGTGAATCGGCTCGCACAAGGAAAGCCCACCGTGTTTTCTAGGTCGCATTCGATACGTTTCGCCTTTCTCAGTTCTGGCGTTTACCTGATTCCAGACAATTCCTTCCATCTTTGGGATGATCCCGAGCTCTCCGCGGCTGAAGGACGAGATTTGGATGGCCTTGTTCTCTTCGATCTAAGTTCGAATGAAAAGGTCGACACTTCCTTTCAGCGATGGAGAGTCTTGGTAGCATCGTCGCCCAAGCCACAAGAGGTACGTGGATGGATAGAGGAAAATGACGTGAACGTGTTCTACATGAGAACATGGAGTTGGCAAGAAGTGTATGTCTGTCGGTGAGTCGTGACTCGTCGGTTGCATAGATAGGGAGGCCTAGTACTGATCTCTCCCAGCGATAATGCCAAGGGAAAGAGGGATGATGAAGCTTGGCATATTGCGTTCATGAAGTACGGGGGTTCGGCAAGGGCTTTACTTGATCGTACGCAGCGGCAGGTAGATCGCGACCTTGACTCAGCTATCCTAGGATGCTCTCTGACCGGTCTCTTCCAGCAAGCGGTGGTACATGAACCCGAGAAATACAGCCATTGTCTGGTAGAAATCAATCCGCTCCAGGACGAGCTTGGTGGTGTCTTGGACCGATCGGAATCACGCGCACGGATCATTTCCCCCTTTATTTTCGCAAAACTCATGAAAAAGAAGGGATGGGAATTGGTTGATAGTTCAGCCAAGGACTTCTACAGTTGCATGAAGGAGCCCTCTACAGCCTCCACAGCTGGTCTGATGTTCGAAGCCATTGCGCATGTCTATGTCGTCAAAAATACTGAAAATGCCCTTCGTGTGCGAGCACTTGAAGATGGCAGTGAACAACAATTGCATTTGGAACATACAGTTCTCCAAAAAACCGTTTCGATGTTTGGCACTTTTCACTTGATGGGCTTATAGTATTATGGAAACATGTTCTAAAATTCCCATAAAATCATGGAATATTACTTGCTATCTCATCTACAGATATACAAATTATCTAAGCAATATATTTATTTTTGGTAAAGTTATTCGATTTAAAAGGTGCCCATGTCATCGAAACGGTTTTTTGGAGTTGATTTTTGGGAGAAGAAAATAGCATTTATTAATATTTGGTATAGCCACCCTTTGCCTTAATCACTGCCTCAATTCTCCTAGGCATACTTTTAATCAAATTCTGACAAATCCTTGGCTCTATCTTGTCCCATTCCTCTTGAAACTGATCCCACAGCTCATGAACACTATTTGGGGGTTCTTCATACTCCCCAAGCTTCCTTTTCACATGATTCCATAAGTGTTCGATTGGATTGAGGTCTGGGGACTGGGAGGGCCACTCCATGACCCATATACCATGATTGTTGAACCAGTTATGGGCCCTTTTGCTGGTATGTTTGGGATCATTGTCCTGTTGGAAGAGGACATGGGCAGGGTTCTTGCCATAATATGATAGGGTTTGTTGGAGTTCATCATCCAGGATTTGGCAGTAAAGCTCCCCATCCTCCCATCAATCTTGCATGCCATCCCAACCCCATCCCACATCATACATCCCCACACCATGACTGATCCACCACCAAACTTTTTGGTCCCTTGCACCAGCCTGTCACTGAGAGGCTCACCCACCCTCTTCCACACCCATTTCCTCCCATCTGAGCCCAGGCGATTAACCTTGGTCTCATCTGACCACACCACTCTCTTCCAGTCCTCCAGAGTCCACTCCTTGTGGCTGATTGCAAAGTCCATTCTGTTTTTTCTATGCTTCCTGCTCAGCATAGGCCGCTTCTTCTTCACCACTGCTTTCCAACCAGCTTCCTTCAAGTGCAGGCGGACAGTCTCAGGTGAGAGGCTCTTGTTGGTAATTTTTTGGAGCATTTGGGTGACTTGGGAAGAGTTGTCAGCCTTGCCAGAGTTAATGAGGCGTTGGGCATGGCGAATGTCAGTCCCTGACAGCTTGCGTGGACGCCCACCACTGGGCTTAGGGACATCAGGACGGTGTTGAGACCAGAGCCGAGTGATAGTGGAAGCTCCATGGCCAGTAGTAAATGCAATCTGGCAAGCACTGTGACCAGAATCAATGAGGGAAAGGACTTGTGCAGTTTGTGAAGCAGATAAGGCTTGCATTTTAGATTTGGGGGCATTATAATGCAAAATCCTTTGGTATTTATGCTCCAGCGATGTCAGTCTGTTTACTAGTGTGTACAGTAAACAATGTCACATGACTTGACATGTGATATTTTGTTTTTTAGGTTGTGCCAGGTGCAGTCCAAAAAACCGTTTCGATGACATGGGTGCCTTGTAAATTAAATAACTTTACCAAAAATGGACGGATTGCTTAGATAATTTGCAGATCTGTAGATAAGATATTAGGTAATGTCCCTTGATTTTATAAGAATTTTAAAATGTGTTTCCATAATGTTATAAGCCCATCAAGTGAAAAGTGCCAAACATTGAAACGGTTTTTTGGAGAACTGTATCAACCGTGAGAACGTGGAAGTATTCTCTGGTGTTCCATTTGATAAGGTCCATTGTCCGGATGCAGCCAAGTACTACCGACCGGTTTTTGGCAACCTCACTGGCATCGACTTGTTCGCTTTTGAAAGGGATGAGAACCACACTATCACCAGTGTTGTCATGTTTCAGTATATAATCTCTCCACAACACTCAGTCAAGGGGAAATTCATCACTGACCTTTGGAATGTGCTGCAGGAACAACATGGGGGGGTGTGGCAATGGAAGCTTGTATATGTCATCCCAAAGGATAAGGACCAGAAAGCATTCCATCAACAGGCACCCACTAATACCTTGATGCTAGTGGTGTCTCAATTTGCACTGGAAATTGGACTGGAGGATATGTGGGGGACAATGTGTGGTTCAGGCTGGTAAATGAATGGTACTTGCAAAGTCACTTTCATCCACACATTTTGTCAGGATACTGAGCAGACTCGGTGCCAGTTGCTCACGTGAGTGAAGTATATCTGAATTTTTTGGTGCAGTGAAACTGTGTAAGTGACTGGTGCAATATGTTGTTATTGTTTGTTTAACTTGAGTGTTTTGTCCTCGATAATAACACAGATATTTGTGGATTGGCTACTGAATTGTGTTGGATTGAATTGCCTGAACTATGAGTTGTACATAAGTTGTGCAATGCAATTTCAGTGTGAGTGCATGTGGTCATCAACCCAACCCATGAGGGAGAGAGAGGGAAAACCCCCTGGCTGCTTCAAGGCAAAGCAGCTTAAGGAGGGGGTGATGTCAGGGCACACCTGCCCCACCCCCCTTCCCTTCTTCCTTTTCTTCACTATTTCTTCCTTTACTTCTCCTTTCTTTACTTTACTTTTGTTCTCTCTTTCTATCACATGGACAACTTTCCTTGTATCAATGTACTATTAACCTGCAGTGTGCACAACGCACCCAGTCCTGGGTGCACCAGACAACCCAGGTGTACACCCATTGCACACCTGCAGTGGATGCCCTTGGGATCTCTCATGGAGACACCCAGATGGCTGCAGCTGTGTGCAAGGGTGATGTTGCAAGCGGGAACGGACTCCTAGAGGGGAGAGAGGGGGAAGAAGGAAGGGAACACTCCAGCTCACTCCCTGACAACTCAGGGAAGAAGAGGGGGGGGGGCGGGTCAGGAGGTCCACTGTACTAGTGTCAGGGCATACACCCTGACCTAGCCCATACCGCATCCACACCCACACTCGCACCCGCACCCGTGACTGCACCCGGCTGTTGCACTCCCCACGCGCGCCCTGTGCCGGATGCTCAGTGCGGCCGGATGGCCCGGACCTCGGGTCTCGGGTCTCACGTGACTTCCGGATATCTCCGGAAGTTTTCGATGTATTGTGGCCACTGTGGGAAGATGAGAAGTTAACTTCCTTCTCATCTCTGACCCACAGTAGGCAAGTTGTATATACTTGCCTCTCTTTTATATACCATCTCTGACCCACAGTAGGTTGTGCCCTGGACAGGGCTGGTTACACCTGGGACTGTGGACCATAGGGGAGGGTCATGGGGACCCGGGAGTCGTCCCCTGACAACTAGGTTCGATGTTTTTAGCAAACAAAACCAACCACTCAACTAAACTGGTGGAATTGCCCTAAGGACCAAATTTTTCCTTAGCTTTAGTTACTAAGCCTCTTGTCGCACCCCAGAGTGCACTGACTCCAAGCTAGATGTGAAGAGGGGGGAATTCGCTTCTCTTTCCTAACTAAAGTACATACTTATATTGAATTGCTACATTGTGCCAAGGAATAGTTCTGAAACAAATGGTTTTGGCTAGAGTAAGCCTCCACCACCAACAGCAGTAAGGTTTGGGTGCTGTTGGCTTGAGTAAAATCCCAAAGAACAAAAGAAAAATGAAGTGAAAATCAAAAACTTTGTCATATCATGCCCATCACTGCATCAAAACTTCATCCCTTCATACCATCTGACTCTCCTCAACTGTAGCTTTCGAACAATACCAAATTTGTGGAATTTGGTGTAGAATTGGCTAAGAATGGGAATTCAGTGGCATGGGATCCACAATACAATTATCCGTGCACAGGGAAACTTGGACTAAATTATCTCCTAAAATTCCGAAAGTTCCTTGACAATATCCCTTGCATTGCTCGCATAGCTTGAATTCCTCTGGAATTTCGCTGAGGCTGACCCAAACATGACCATCCGATGTTCTCATGTAGTCCCATGACACGCGTCAAGTCCAGGAGTCAGATAATTCCCTTGGTTTCTCCACAACTACTCTTCCGTTCTGGATGAGATTCTGCACTGGGTCTATGGGTATTATTCCACAATTAATGACCCCCTAGATCATCCTCCACCGTCGACTTTTGACCTTTTTCCAATTGAGGTTTGGTCAAGTGCATGGTGTCATATCCATACCAACTCTGCCTAACCTCCATTCTACTCCACCACCGTTCCAGTCCACCTCCGGTCTGTCCTCCCCCCACACCTCTGCCATACCCTCCAGTATACCTCTGGTCCACCTCCGCCTCCGATCTCCGGTACCTTCTCCGGTACCTCTTATCCTCACCTTAAACATTTATTAATATTTCTACCTACCCAATATTGCTACGGACCTCCTAGGACCTCTGCCAACCCTGCAAAGGTTTTCCCACTTTCCAATAGCTGTCTGTCATATCCATCCCCGGCCATCAACTTCCGGTCCCTCCGATCCCTCCGTTCTAACTCCGCTCCTCCCTCACTAACCTCGGAGCCCCCGTATTCCGCAATCCTCTCGGCACCCCTTGATGGTCACCACCCCCTCATTTCAATTTATTACCTATGCCTCCCTAAGTACAGAGCCCCGAGGACTTCCGGAC